TATCCTATATATATATACATATGTATACATATATATATATATATACATATATATATATATATATATACATATATATATATACATATATATATATGTATACATATAGTAAATTTGTTTGGTGCTCCATGGTGCCCGGGCTCCATGATTCAAATTGAGTATATACTCAATTCAAATGAGTATGAAATTTTTTTAAATGTTTAGGTATTAACATTAACTACTTTACTAACTAGTTCAAAACAAGTTTGAACTGAATTTAAACATGTTTTTATTAGAATTTGATTCTAGGTATATAGCATCCAAACATATAATTAGTTAGGTATGTAATAGTGGACTGTGAAATAAAGTTAAATTTGAGTTGTTTTAATGCTAGGTATAGGTATGAATTGAATACTTATAACTAGGTATATACTCACAATTTGATAAATTTGAAAAATTTAAGTGAATTTGTGTGTGTCATACCATGGTGCCCAGGCACCATGGTGTCCCATATACATATACATATATGTATATGTATATGTATGTATATGTATGTGTGTGTATTCATGTATGTGGGCAGCATATCCTATTCACACAAGTTTTCACGTGTACACACGTGCACACCAACTAACAAATATCACTAAAAAACTAGGAAATTTCATACATGTACTTTCAATAGTATTATACCTATGAGTAAAATCTTAACCTCAAATTCATTATATTTTAGCTGTATAAAAAAAATCTGATAGTTTTAAGGTTATAATTTTGTCAGAATTTTATATTTTTTTACTTTCTGTAATTTAAAAGATGTGACTTTGCATATAGATGTAATACTATTGGAAGTATATGCATGAACTTCTCTATAATTTTTGTGATAATTTTTAGTTGGTGTACACGGTATGTACATGCGAAGGCCTGTGTGCATAGGATATGCTCCCATGCATATGTATATGTATATGTATATATGTATATATGTGTATGTGCGCGTGCGTATATTACAGTCCTTAATTTCTAATGTTCTATCATATACTCCATTCGTTTCGAAATGTTTGACACCGTTGACTTTTTAGCACATGTTTGACCGTTCGTCTTATTCAAAAACTTTTGTGAAATATGTAAAATTTTATACCTACATAAAAATATAATTAACAATGAATCAAATGATAGGAAAAGAATTAATAATTACTCAAATTTTTTGAATAAGACGAACGGTCAAATATGTGCTAAAAAGTCAACGGTGTCAAACATTTCGAAACGGAGGAAGTATTACGAAATGTAATTACTAGGATGGGGTTGATGAATATGTTTTCCATCGTCGTGCAATTCTCTCGCAGGATCAATAATCTGATCCATGATAAATCCCATCGGTTATTCTTGAATATCCTTTATAAAGTCGTCGTGGGGGAGTCTCTCCTTCATCCAAATGACCTATCATTTGAAAAAATAAGATATAAATATATGAAATCAATAAGAAATCGAGAAATAATGCATGAATGATTTTGTTTTCTCACTTTGACAGAGACGTTCTCTTAAGGCAATACTTCTCTGAATTTTTTAATTGCAAATTTAGGTATTTCCAAAATTGGTGCATGAAACAACTTTAAATTGTATTAATAATATCACGCGGTAATTATAATACATATTAAACATTTCTTTTTGACTGCTTGTATCGTCAGTTAGAAATTAGCTTGACTGGCAGTTGGGAGGTTTTGAAGTTGTATAAATATTCGAGTTCATAAGATATCTACTTAACAGCGTCTGCGTGCAGTTGTCATTTTGCAATGTAAGTCCATGCATCGATGGAGAAAATAAAGATTATACAACATCCGTTGACCATTAAATTTTCTAATAATGTTTAACCATTTGTGTGGTAAAAAGATTAGTTAGAGTACTTATTCTAAAATATAAGTTACACTTCAAGTTTCTTTAATTGTAGAACATGTCACAACAAAATAAATGACATTTATGTATTAATTTTTTAATAGAACTAAAACGCTATGTAAAAATTCAAAAATTGTCATCTGTTTTTTTTAAAAAAGTAAGTAGTAGTCAGTAATTGCAACATTATAGTAAAACGGGGTTAAGTTGAATATATATACCTGCATGAAGAGCAGCGGCTTGCCAACGACGACGTCAGTCTCGCCGACGAGGTCGCTGTACAGGAGCTCCTCCACGCAACGGGTATGGAGTGCCCAGCGGCTCCGTACACAAATTATATGATTAGCGATGAATAAACATCATAGGTAAACCATTGTATATTGCTTATTTACTCAACACATTCGGGGCTTAATTATCTTCAAATACAAAAGTTTGTAGTAGCTTCGAATAAGGAGCTTGAACTACATCTCCTTAGGAGGAGAAGTTGACTAAATCAATTTGGTTATATCTGTACAGACATCGATCACCTCCTTCATGAGGAGGGCCGCTGATACGCGACTAGTCGCGCGCGCGCAGCGTGATCAGCTGCCCCTCCTCTGGTCTGTATACTACTAATCTACTATATCCTCTATTCTATACTAATATATATATATATATATATTACTGTATGTATATACGTACTATATATACAGACTTATAAACTTTGTATATGTATATACAAATATACAAAGTTTATACGTGTGTATATAAAGTATATATATACGTATATATAATTTTTGTGTGTACAAAAAATTGACGTATAAAAAATATACATGTATACAAAGTTTGCATACGCGTATACAAATTTTGTATATATACATATTAAAAACCGAGAGAAAAAAACATTAATACAAAATTTGTATACGTATGAATAAAAAACTCGTATACATACGAATATAAACTTTGCATACGTACATCTTAACAAAACCGAAAAAATGAAAAAAAAACAAAACAGAAAGAGAACCAAACAAAAAGGAAGAGAAAAAAGGAAGAGAAACCGAAGAAAACCAAAACTGAAAGAGAACCGCAAAAAAAAGAGAAACGAAAAAAAAAGGAAATCCCGCGCGGGCGCCGTCCGCCTCCCCCTCCGCACGCGACACGTGTCCAGTCGCGCGGGGAGGGTACGCACGACTGGTCGCCGATTAGCTTTTTCGTCTTCATGAGGAGGCATATGAGACAAAATGGAACTGAAGACGGTATCAATTCGGTGATATATATTGGGCGATCTTTCTAAGGATTGCTTTCTTGGATGGTCTCCGAACAACAATATGTTATTCTCTACAGTCCCTTTGTACCTTTTCTAGATATTAAACCAGAATCGGTGGTCGAGATTCTTTCTTAGAACATCAGCGAGAATGTTTGTAATGATGAACGATCTGCCCCTCAATGTCGTTAACTCATTTCCTATCGACGATAAGTTCTTTCTTGTTATGGAATTTCCTCAGTTGAAATGGAGAGCTCAAGAAATTCAATGTTGCTTTATTAGCTAGATTATTTTTGTCAAACTGATTGTGTACTGCTCATAGTTCGATTCTAATTTAGAAAGACACTACAGTTGTTTTTGACGAGTTTTAGTCACACTTTGGTGAGTGATGGTTATCGCCACATCCAGCTGCCAGAGAATCCGTAGACAATAATTAGTTTCATTCGAAATGGATGGTTAACAATGATTTGGTGTAACAAAAAAAATGATCTGAATATAATATGATCAGGAAAATTCTATTTGGTTTGAAGAAATAATTACTTCCTTCAGGTCAAGGGAGAAACACGTGTCTGGAGTTATTCGAGTCTTCCACTCAAATGAGGAAATTTGACCTAGAGGGTTGTTAATTCTTGACTGAGTCGAGTAAACATGTTGAGGTGTCAATCCTCCGTAAAATTGCAGAATTTTCACGTACATGTCATACATCAATACATGTATGCGTTCTATTGGCAAGGCTGTCAAAATACATACAGGTCAGTTTCATCTAATTTTTGTAGCATGGTTTATATATATTTCTTCAACAAGGGTTGTTCTATATAAACACCATTTAAGAAAGTTAACGCTGTGAAACCGTCCATATAAAACTCTTTGTACTAGCTAGCAACAACATTTAAAAACAGCGCAATAAACTTAGGCAAAATTTACTATAGGACATTCAAAATTTGCAGTCTTTGTTGCAAACACCCAAAGAATGCGTATTCGCTTCATGACCCCAAAAACCATGCTAACCGGATGCATTATTTTATCATATCTGATACAAACAAGCAGGGGCGGACCTAAGAGGGGTTCCCCGTATGCACCGGCATACCCAAAAATCTTGCCAAAAGTCCAGGATGTAGCATGCTTCGGTGATTTAGTTAGCTTAGATACAGAGTTTTAGTTGATTTAGGCAGCCTAGTTACGCTGCGGTAGTCGAGGAAACGAAGGCAGGCGCAACCCACTGAACGCCCAGATCCTAAACGTGAGGTTCTGAGGCCTTGCCGCCATTGCCTCGCCAGCGGTCGGCGGTAGTGACAATCAGTCTTCACAAATTTTATGATTTACTTCATTCGAATCCCCTATTATCTTTCTCATGTAATTGACAATTAATTGAAATCAGCAAGTTCAAAAATTAGTACTGTAAAGTTAAATCTTTGATGATTGGTGATGGCAATGCAAGCGTTTTCATTTAAACATCTTTCAATCTTCTCATTTCACTGCTAATCTTATATAAAAGATTTTGCTCAAATTATTAGTGTATTTATATGTATGACGGTAGTTAGAATGCGTTCTTTGTGATCTGCATAGGCACTCCCAAGGTAAATTTTCTGGGTCTGTCACTGCAAACAAGGAGAGAAATAGCATGGAAATTAAGTGCCAATTTGTCCATGTGTCCATCTGTAAATTCTTGACTCAAGAGTCAACAGTACACATGTTGAGCTGTTGATCCTCTGTAAATTGCAGAATCTTCACGTCAATACATGTAGGTTTCCTATTGGCCTGGCAAGACTGTCAAGTCCAGATACATCGTTTTCATCTATTCTCAACCATTAATTTTTGTAACATGGTTCATTGCTTCAACAAGGGTTGTGCTATATAAACACCATTAAACCAAGTTAACAATGAAAGCCTTCCATATCAAACTCTTGGTAGCTGGCTTCCTAGCAAACACACATCTAAAGATAGTTCAAGCAACTCCTATATTTATGGATGTTGTCATTTCTGCATTAGTGAGTGACATCATTAGCCGATTCATGTCATTCCTTATCAGTAAGTATGGACACAACTCATGTTTGAAGAACAAACTTGAGAGACTGCAACATCTTCTTCTAAGGGTTCATATGGTTGTTGAGGAGGCAGAAGGACGATACATTACAAATGCAGGGATGCTGATGCAACTCAAGATGCTTACAGAGGCTATGTATAAAGGCTACCATGTCTTTGACACTTACGGTCCCTTAGAGCTTATTAAAGAAGCAGGGGAGGTGAGTGACTCATATGCCCTGGATTTCCATTATGTAAGACGCTTTCATCTATCTGGTGGCACAATTGTTAGCAGGGAGGTGAAGAGTTCATTAGAAAATTTAGAAACCGTTCTTGATAACCTAAAGGAATTTGTTTCACTCCTAAATGGATGCGAACGGATATTCCGCAATCCATATAGTACCTATCTTTACATTGACAACTTCATGTTTGGACGTCAGGTCGAAAGGCAACAAATCATGAGCATATTGATGCTAGATGATCATCCTAAGATCCCAGCTGTGCTGCCTATAATTGGTGGTTGTAGAGTAGGTAAGAAGACACTAGTTTGGAGTGTTTGTAGTGATGAGAGGATCCGCTCTCACTTTTCTACCATTCTGCATTTCGGTGGCGATGATATTAAGAAATTTGATGAACGCAAGGTTATGCCTCTCAAGACATTAATTACTGTTGAATTTATTTCAGACATAAGTGACTGTGAATGGTTGAATTTTTATTCTTTAGTAGCCTCCTCTGGTAACGGAAGCAAGGTTATAATCATAAGTAGGCTTGAGAAACTAGCAAGGTTTGGGACAGTAAACCCCATTGAACTTAGGAACTTTTCACATGAGGAGTACAGCTACCTTTTCAACGTTCTCGCATTTGGAAGCTCGAACCCATTGGATCACCCCCGGTTAGCGATAATAGGGAAGGAAATAGCAAGAACATTGCAGGGGTCACTTGTCGCCATAAACATATATGCTAATGTTCTGAGGAATAATTTCAGTGTTCCATTTTGGATCCGTGTGCTGAACCTATACAGAGGGATGATGGAGAGCAACTTGTCCTTGTATGGTGAACACCCTAAATCTCTACTTCAGAAAGATGGAACTATTATAGATATAACTGCATTTTGCCCGTCATTGGCTACAAACTCACTTCGAATCACACTGCTAACTGGTGAAAAATTCAAGTATGATAACAAAAGGGAATTACCCGTCATGGGATTCGGCGATATAATAGCGGGCTCCGTAACCATGCCAATGAAGTTTCAGTTAGTTTGGGAATCACGGTTAGCCCCTTATACTGTTATTTCTGCAACTTGTGGTGCAGAGGAGCTTCTGTCAACAACCTCAACAAGGAAGAAACGGAAGATTGTGTGTACTTCCTGAGTTGTTAAATTTTCTAGACAATATGCTAGCAATTTGAGTGTACATCAAATGTATAAATTTCTACATTAACTAGGTATATTTAAAACTTGTAAATGTTGCATGTGCTGTTGTTTGCATGTTTTAATAGTGTTTTATAATATTTTAAAGGTTACAAATTAATATTTCATATATGATATAAAATTATTTGAATAATACTAAGTATTTGCAAATACATTGTATCTTTCATATGGTTTTTCTCTCACTTGTTGGGACTGAATGTTTTATGTAATGGTTAATCCGTATTTTTTAAATGTTGTATTTCTCTAACTGAAATTGAAATATTTTATGGAGGGAATTAAAACATTTTTTTATAACAGATGAAGCAATGTTAATTTTCTTATTGATATATAATCGTGTGAGATTTTGTTATATACATTCAATTACAAGGAATACAACAGTTTAATCGGATCATAAATCGAATAATTATTCTAGGAGAAAATATTGAAAGAAGGAAGAAAAATATACAAATAAGCATGCAAAGACTAGTTGTTAATATGCATGCATAGGCATGACACATACATGGAAAGATAAGTACTCGGAATAAAAAGAAGAAAGTAGTATAAAGAGGAGCCACGCAGCAATACTAAACTATACGCTTGGAACGAGGTGGGCGGGCGCCTGATTTTTTATTCGTGGATTGGGCCCCCGACCTGAAGTCCCGAGGGTATATCTAAATACATGCTGATAGTTTTTTTTTTGTTAAAAACTGTTCGATGTACTTATAATATTATTTATATGTAATTACATAAGTAATATGTAATTTAAGTGTAAGTAGTATGCAATTTCAATTCAATTTTCAAAAATTCTCATCCTTCGTTGGTTGGAGCCGCTGTGTGAGCAACCGAATGTGTCTATGCATGTAAACACACATCCGTTGGTTGGTTTGAATCCTTGCATGTGCATGATGCAATTTTATTTTGGGTGAATAACATGATCCTTTAACTTTCGTTTAAGGATCAATTTAGTTGATGATATTATGTGTTGTCCAAACAAGTACCTTAAGTTTATTGTGTGATTCAGTATAGTCCTTAGACTCTCTAAACATGTCATGTGTACCTGCCACATCATCTATGCACCCAAATTCAATATTTAAATGTCCATTCCACCCTTATGTTTTTCATTGGAAATAAAGAAAAACTATTGAGAAAAGAAAAAAAATGTAGCATTGTTAGCTAAAAAAATTGGCATTTTCCTTTGTTTTATGATTGCTTCTTCTTGTTTTTCCCTTTCTTTTTCTTCTTTTATTTGATAGAAAATTGAAGGTTAACATAAACATTTAAATGTTATCTTACAAGCACAAATGATGTGGCATGTCCATATGGCGTTTTAAGTGAGTTTAAGGACTATATTAAGCCGCATGATATTTGTAGGGTCTTGTTTGGATATTATAAAGTATCCAGGACTAATTCGACCTCTGAGCAAAAGTTAAAGGAGTTAACTGACTATTCACCCTTTTATTTTCGTCTTACTTAATAGCACTAATCTCAAAGTCAATCTAATGGATCAAAAATCAACATATCTCTAATGGAAAATGCGTCGAAAGTAATTTAGCCTTTCCGAAGTTGCAAAGCATTCTCCGTAAGAAACGCATCGCTCTGACCAACTTATTATCCTCAGAAATGAAACACAAACGCTCAGCGAAAAAGAAGGCTCGATTTGGTCATCAAATCGCTCGAATTGATGCGGACGACGAGGAGGCATCCACTGCACGATGCCATCGACGCCGCCCGGTGGGACGCCGAGCCTCCCCTCGGCCGCCTCGTCGTGGTCGCCCACGCCGCCTTCCTCCACGCCGGCTTCGTCCCCTACAGCGCCGGCGGCAGCTCGTCAGCGTCTCGTCGTCCACTCCCGGATGAGATCGGCGCGGTGGCTTCGTCGCTCTCGCTCCGCTACACCGTCCCGGAGCTCCTGCGACGGACGACGACGCAAAGGCGCCGTAGCCGCGCCGAGACCGCCGTGCTGAGGCTATGCGCGCACGGCGACCACGTCGTGTTCTACGGGTACCTCACCGGCGACGCCAATCAGGTCCAGAGACTCCAGACAACCAGGCACTGGGCGTGCATCGACGCGCTAAGCGTCGCGTCCGTCCTCCTCTCCGGCGACCTTGATGCGACGGCGCACGCGCTGGCCGACGACGGCGCCGGCCTCTGGAAGAAGCTCGCCGGCGGGCTGGCCCGGCGACTCTTCGTGGACATGTGCCGGAAGAACAGCAGGCTCCTGCCGCCGCGCCTGACCTCGCTGCCGCCTGACCTGCAGGAGGACATCCTGCGCAGGCTCGCCGTGGAGGACATCGCGGCGATGTACTTCACCTGCACGGGGCTCCGCGACCTCATCGCCGGCAGCGAGGTGTTGAACAACAATTTCCAGTGGGGGGAGCTGTGGATGAACTTCGCATGGAGCCAGGGTTATCTACGGCGGTGGCTGCCATCACCGGCGAGGGTGGTCGTAGGTCGGCGAAGTCAAACAACGTCGTTTGTCGCCGGAGACGGTGAGGATAGGTGCAGGTGGCGGGATCCAACAAAGCAGATGATAGAGCGTTTCGTGGAGAAGAGGAGTAAGGTTCTCGCAGCCGGCGGGGACGGTGGCCGGCGGCGGCCGGTGATGGCGGCGCGAGGCCGGAGGAGGGGAGACAAAGGCGCCGCATCTTCCCGTCAGAAATGGATGCATCGCTGATTCGTCTACATTGGCCGCGAAATGTGATTTGGTATATTGGACTGAATGACTACCACGACGACAACGTACACGAAATTTTACGAGATTTTCTCTGGTCCAACAACAAAAAGTTCCTCAAGGTACCAGCACCTCGAGGTAATTTTTGTTGGACCTGAGCAAATCTCAAATATTTTAGTTGTTACGATTGATAATCTTCTGTTTTATTTGAAGTTGTGCGGGTAATTGTTCACATGTTGCAGTCAGGGATCGAAATGTCTGTAATTTCGGACCACGGTAAGCAACTATCTCGTCCATTTTTTTTTCAAATTTGTGTGAATTTGTTTAAACTTTGTTCAAATTAAAAAAATTGTTAACATTTCGAATAATTTCGTGCCAAAAAGTGCCACAATCCCCAAGATTCATGAGATTTTGTGACCACCAAAATTACCAAAATTTCGGCCTAACCGAAAGTGCAAACACTGGTTGCAGTTGCAGTAGATGATAATGATTCAAAGCAACACGTTCATGTTTTAGGATCTTGTTTAACAATGTTTATGTATACTCCTAATTATTTATTTTACGCAATATGAACCAAACCTGTAACTATACAAGTGATGAAAAGTCTATGCTTCAAAAGGGACAAAATTTCAATAGTCGTATGCATTTAAATCTCCAAAAGCGGCAAAATATTATAAAATGTGTACACATCTTTACAAGCATCAAAATTCTATATAATTTTAATTAATCGTCTACATTCCAATTAATCATTGAACAATGAACAACACAACCCCCGTAATAATGTCCTCACATTTATCCATCCTCTGCTCTTTGAAACAAAAGTTTGGAACACTAGAAAACTGAAGAACCGCCAATGCTCTTGGTAACTCATCTCACACCTCCGATATGTGTGTTAGTGTTGGACTGAATGACATCTGAATATCTGATGCCACAGAGACTATACACGAGTGCCCGCCAACTTGTCCTCATGGAAGCAAACCCTTTCTAAAATCTTTGAGAAATGGTACATCATTGCATCTAGTGGCAAACTGGCAATTGATCAACTGCCACTCAATTGTCAGGCAAATGATCAGTTTTCACGGTATAAAATGGTACATCATTGCATCTAGAACCTTATCATATCTTCTCAAGGATTAAAAAAATACTGGCCATTACAATCAAACAATTAAACAGCGAGAACATTCGAATAAAGCTACAGTAATAATCCAAGCAGGCCGAAGTTGTTCCATTATTTTAAAAAGAACTGCAACATGCAGGATCATGCTTTAGTAAGACAAAATGCCGATTACAACATTAGTACATTACATTAACAATGTGAAACACACATAATTTAATAAGCCCCAAAAGTGTGTGGACTCCAAATTCAGGCTTCACGACGTGCAACGGAAAACATCCGAGAGAAATGGGAAGAGCAAATTTCTTGTAGAGCAAAACAAAGCAACAGGTCATAAAAGTACACAAATAGAAGTACCACTACCACACGACTAGTTTGCAATTTAGTGATGATTCTGTATACCTCTTTCATGGGTCACTAGAAACATCGCCGCTGGCAACGATATTAGTTGACAGTAACACCGCCTTGCTGATCCTCTGCATCCTTGTTATCATCACACTCTTTGTTACTGATCTCTTCGACGTATGCTTCCTTGATGGCAAGTCTAGGATGGTTGGGATTTGCATTTGCTTCGCTCCTGATGGCAGCCACCGCAGCCTCAGCATCAGAATCTTCAGCGCCCACACGGTAGATAAATACCTCCACTTCTTTGAGATGTTGGAGGTTGTTGATGCCAAAATAGAAATCATGGGGTTCTGCCATTAAAACGTGAAATAGAATCTCAAGCTTCTCCAGCTTTGGCATAGCTCCTTTCTCAAACGTAAGGTATGCTCCACCATTGTGATCGCTACAAGCAAGGACAAACTCCTTAAGAAATAGGAATCCTGTGCTTTGGACTGTAAGCTGTTCTTTTGGGTCAGGTTCCAGCCATATTTCTAGACTGAGTAAGGCTGGCAGGTCTCCAAGTGTTTCCATATCTTCCTTCTTTATCTCACGTAAATTTATGCTAAGGTATGCCATTTTGGTGAGATACGGTTTAACCCACTTTGGAAGTTGCAGGAGATAGTAGTCAGTGATCATGTGAAACAATCGGAGGAAACAAGGGATAGGGAACCAACGTTCTAAGAAATCATCGGTACTGTGATCTATAATGTGCAATGATTGGAGTTTGTAGCTGCTTAGTTTACAAAGTGAGGCGAGTAACATCTCTTCTTTTGTCTTGCACTTGCTGAGTTTATCAGACAAACTTATTTTGAGGTCCCTCAAACTGGTCAGCTCACCAAGTTCTGCCACTGCGCTCGCTGAGCTACTGCTTATATTAATGCCTGATAGCACCTGTAGATTCCTCATATTCCCAATTCCATCCGGTAGCTTCAACATCCGATCTCCGAGAAGATGTTGTAGCTTTATCAATCGGCAAAATTCAGTGGGAAACTCTTCTACGCATGTTTGGCGAAGGTCCAGCGTCACCAAATTTTGGAGCTTTGCAATTTGTGTTGGTATATGTGATATGTTTGAACAACAAAGGCTTAAGTACTCAAGCTGGAATAGCTTGTCTATATTTTCCAAATACTGCTCTAAACCTTGAGAGCCATGAAAATCCAATACTCGTAGAACCTCAAACCGGGAAAGCTAGGGCAAAAAAATTATGTTCCCACCAAAGCAGTGTAGGGATCGAACATGGCATAAATTTTTGTTTGCTAACAGAGTTGACAAATGATTATTAGTGTCCTGAATGGATAATCGCCGAACATAATGATGCGAATTCGTTTTTCTAGTTTGGCCACCTAATAATGTAACAAAATTCTCTTCTGTTGCTTTTGAGGAGATAAATTGAAGCATTATATCATGGACACGGCATGCACGAGCCTTACCATCAAAACCAATGTCCACAGGTTGAACCAGACTTTTGTTGATGAGCTCATAAAAGTAGCTCTCCGCAACATCTTCCAATTTCTGCCCACAGTCTTCAGAGATAAAGCCTTCAGCTATCCATCGCCATACTACCATGTTTCTTTCAATAATACAATCCTCTGGAAATATGCTCAAATATAGCAAACAAGTCTTGAGATAGTTTGGAAGGTTATTAAAGCTAAGGGACAGTATGATTTTCATTCCTTCTAGATTTTGGTTCTTGTCCAATGCAAAACCAATCGATTCTTTCACTTTCTCCCACTCTTCCTTGATAACTGGTCTATTTGCTAATAAGCCAGATATGCTAATAATTGCTAATGGAAGACCGCCACATTTCTTCAATATATCTGTTGAAACTTCCTGTAAAATATCTGGGCAGCCATCCTCATTTGTACTGAAAATTCTCTTGCAAAATAGTCTTCCAGAGTGAACTTCACTTAGAGGTTCCATCTGATAATTGCGGTCAATGCCATTTAAGCAGCATGACCATCCAACATCGGAAACGCGTGTAGTAACTATAATTGTACTGGAACAGTCATTATCCGGGAATGCAACCGTGATAGCTTTCCATGCCGAAATAGACCATACATCATCAATTATAACAAGATACCTAGTTAAAGTTTATCAACAATATAAGTTTGTGAATGAAAAACCACTCTATTATATCATGAGTGTGGGTATACAACTTTATCGAAGAGGGGAAAAAAGAACTAGAGAATTACCTCTTATCCACAAGTAGTTCTCTTAGCTTTTCAATAAATTTCTTTTCATTCCATGTGTCAATATCTTTGAGGAAACCATCTTTCGTAGGCATATTGTATGTTATATCCTTGAAGATATTCTTGAAATCGGGCTTTTGTGACACTGACACAAATGCATGGCAGTCAAAATGAACTTTAACCCTACGATATACCTCATTCGCTAGAGTTGTCTTCCCAAGACCTCCAAACCCCACAATAGATAATACCTTGCGACACTTTATCAACCTGCTCTCTGCATCCAACCAATTGACAAGTTCAACCCTTGGGCCATCTATACCGACAAGATGGTTCTCTTCCGCGAAGAGAGTAGCCAACCGTGGATCAACAGAAGCATTGGTATTGCTAGAGCTACTGCAAAAAATATCGTCAAGCTTGTAGCTGTTCTTTTGATCTCTCACCGAGATAACTCGTGCCTTCAGTTCCTCAATCTCGCCAGCAATATTATGCCTCGGGCCAAGAGTTTTGAGACGTTGTATACTCTTCCTAAAGAAGTCCTCGATGCTATTACTGGTGCGGTGCTGCTCACCGTTGGCACCAAGTTGGTGCATAAACTTGTCTATGCAGTCCTCGATGTCATAGGCAAGCTCCCTCAGCTCGGTGATCCAGGCCTTCACCTGGATGTCAGGGTCCTCGAGTGACGCATACTTGTGGAGCGCCGCTTGCATGTTGCTCAGCTCCGATCTTAGGGAATGGATCTCACGGCGGACACCTTTCAAGCACGCGTACTTGTCTGCGAGCAAGGTACTGAGCTTGCCCAGTAGCGGCCCCAGTGCCCCATGTGAGACACTCACCACGGCATCCATGGCTACCGATCGATCTGAGCTTTAGTTTGTTCTTTGGTGGTCTGGAAATAAAGGACTGAAAAAATATATCAGTAGAAATTGAGAGAGATGTGTGAGATAGCAACCGGAGCAGGAGTCGAGGAACATAGCAGAGGCCGGAGGATCGGAGAAGCAGCAGCAAGATCAATCAAGCCAGGAACCAGAGCTCCTTCAGATTCCTTCCTAGCTTCTACCATCAGCCTATAACTTCTTGTGCTCAGCTAAGCCATTTGTATGCTGCATCTAGTGTTTGCTGGGGTTGGTGATCAGTCAACGACGCTCCATTGTACTGCTTTCCCCTGATGAGGATCCGTTTGCAGTAATGCAGGACCTTCTGTACAACAAGGTGGATATATTAGATTAGAGAGAATGGCTCCAAGTTGGCAAGTGGAAGAAGTGACTGTCATGTAAATTAAAGTGTGGTGGCCGACAAATGTAATCTGGTGCTTTAACAGAAAATGGAAAATCCCCAACCCGGGAGTATCATATCCTTCTTATGTCATCACTACCTGCAGACCACCGAACCAGCCAGGAACAATTAAAATTCCATGTCACTAAAGCCTGACTGAAACTTGTGCTGGAGAAACGAGTGCAACTCGCAAGACTACACACGATATTTGACGAGATCGTCCACCTTCACCTCTACAAGTACAACATTACAACCTGTCGCTGACGGATGAGGCGTCGCTAAGGCACACGCTCTGGCCTCTGGAAGTTCCCCATTCTGACGCTCACCCCGGTCACGCAGGCGACGGCGGCCGGGTGACGTGCGGATGGACGATGGCTACACACAGGTGATCGATCCCCTATGGTGAGCATGGGTGTCGGTGGCGGCTGATCTGAGGGAGAACGTTGTAGCGTCCTAAAACTTTGAATAATACTATAATAATAAAAGTACGTAATGTTTTAAACTTTTTGAAAACACTTTACATCGTGCTATATATTGGAGTAATTTGTTTGCAAATCAGTATGTTAAATCTTATCAATCGGACAAATTAAAGTGAACAAATGAACAAAAGCAATTAAAGAATCAATTTGATCACCACCCTGAATAAATGGAGTACAATTCAAGTACAACTAAAAAAATACATTAGCTAAATTATCAATTCATTAGGTGCAAATATCTATCTATTATCTATTATCTTCTATTAAATACTAAAAGTCAATTAAACTTCCTACAAACGCTCCTAAGCCTCCACGTGGCACTCCTACAAATGCTCTAAGACTGCCACGTGTCACACTAATAAATTGGGAAAAAAGGCAAAAATTCTAAGAAAAAAAAGTGGACCCATTATTTTCATCCGTTATATTATAGGGTTAATTGGATCCATGCCACTGTGTAACTTTACAAAATTTAAAAAATATCACTACTATTCGTCATATTGGCTACACGCCACTGGAAATTTCTAAAATTGGAATCATGCCACTCCTGTCCCTTCTTCCGTCTCCTCTCTCGCGCCGTCTCCATTCCCATCCCACATGTCAGTTCCATCTCCCCATCTTTTCTTCCATCTGGCGCGACTGCAAAGAGGACAACGGCAACGAAGGCGGCGGCTCCCGAGCACTCCCGTCGTAGATCGAGGACAGCGGCAGCGGCTCTCGAGCCCTCCTGCGCGGATGGCATCGAGGACGGCGGCGGCGACAGCTCCAGAGACATCCCGCCGCAGATGGCGTCAAGGACGGTTTGGAGCGGCTCCCGAGCCCTCCAACGGTGGTCAATGGTGAGGCACGTCAGCTTCGCCCCGCTCGGCGCCACCGACCCCCCTCCTCCAACCACCATCTTGTTCTCCAACTCGATGACCCCGACGACCCCCCGCCACCCCCGCTACTGGGCGGCGCTCCGCCGTGGCACCGTCGTCGCCGATGGACAAGAGCGTGGGGCAGCCTCCGCCTCCTCACGGAAGGGGGATGTGAGAGAGGAGACAGAAAAGGGGCGGGAATGGTATGGTTTCAATTTTAAAAATTTCTAGTGGCATGTAGCTAATATGATAAATAATAGTGGCATTTTTTTTAATTTTGCAAAGTTGCTGTGACATGTATCCAATTAACCCTTAATCCTTAAAGGATCCTTCCCACCTCCACTTGCCTGTCCGTACGTGATGGATTAGATCAAACTAAAAATACACAAATACCTTCCATCCCCTTCTACATGTATCATGTCTTTCCTCAAATATATACATGTGTATTCTCCCTCCATTACATACATACAATTAGATAGTTTGCCATGAGTTTTAAGAAATATAAACCAATAATTTGAGATCAATATTGCTCATATTATATGCTATATATGACAATAATCATTTGGTCATAGAACCCTATTCTTTTAATGGCAACCAAATAGCAATAAAACATTGTAAGAAATTGAAAATGAATAATATATATCGTTGAAAACATTTTACAAAAATAAATTAGATAGATGGTATCGAAGGGAATAAAATTTATAAATTCAACGCGTTAATAAATTCAACATGACAAAAAAAATATAGCTACGCACCATACTACTACATTTTGCATGGCATTCAAATTTCCATAAAAAGCACGTGACATAAATATATTCTTGAACGCTCACCTGCCACTATGTGTCACCTCTAACACAAAAACTATAGTTACCTTGGACGTCGACGATGAAGAAAGCGGTTGGCAACGTTTTGTTCCCCAGGGCAAGCTACATAGAAAAGATACCTTTGGCCTCCATTGGTTCACTATTAAAGCCGTTGAGTGGTATGTTGGTCTTCTTCAAATCCTCATCTCCACGCCCCAACTTCTTGAATAGTGAGTATGGCATTAAATTCACAGCGACACCTCCATACACCAACATCCTAGAGATCGGCTTCCCATCAATGTGACCCTTTTGGTAGAGAGGCCTCATATGACGGTTAGACTCATCGGGCTTCTCAAAAGCTGCATCTCTTGGTCCTTGTGAAATTAGGCAATTCTAGCCTCATCCGTGGCACGGAACTCCATAGGCAACATGCACACCATATTGACATCCATGTTCTCCGTTGGTGGTGAATCATTGCTAATTAACAACCGGTGGCTCATCCTCTTTCAAGTCTCCCTCTTCATCTTGAGCAACCACCGGCTTTTCAATCTCCATTGGCTTAGGTCTCCACTCTTGCCTTGGCGGCAGCCGCAACTCATTAAATCTCCTATCTCTCCACACTTCTGTTTTCTTTTCTTTCAACTCATGAGCACGAAGACATTGCAACCTCCTATTTTGTGAAGCCGTCAAATTCTTAGGCATCCACCTTCACTGGTGTCCTACGCCGTGATTGTCTCGGCTTCAGTTTTCTCGCTTTGAACCACCCTGGCTTCATCTCCAGTAGGTATTGGCACAATCATGAGACCCCACTTTGACAACAATCAGCTCTGAAGTCCTTGTCTCCACCTTGGCGCGCTTTCCTCCACCTCTTTCCTCCTCAAACCGATTCTTTGATTGAAACCAGTCTTTGTTTGACGAAAACAACTGCTCATGCACTGACATTCATGGCTCCACCCAACTTTGATGAAATTGCATTAGCACCGTTGGTGGCACGAACTCGTACATTGGTGGCGGTGCCCCCCATGGCATGAAGTAAGGAAAAGGATAACCCGGCGGCGGCATTGGACAAGGCCCCCATTGCATGACTTTGTGGATTGTAAGGAAAAGGCAGCTCCACTTGTCTTGGGGATTAACCAAATCTCTCCTAGGAGGTGATCTTGGTCTTTTACCCTTGTTAGAACGTTGCTCAGCAATTCTCTTCTCATACTTGTTCAAAAGCATCTCAGAAGACACGTTTGGCTTTTGTGATGTTCTTGACCTCGAAGCTTCACCTCTATTTTCCTTCCATACACCAACTCCTGGACTTTTTGGCACAATCATCTTAGGCCTAGGCTCTCCAATCACTACCTACTTCTAGCCGAATCAACACATTTTTATCATTAAAATCAATAGTGTTCACATGAAAAGGATCATGATCTAGCTTCATCTTAGAACCTTCAGTTAATTTCAATCGTTCTTCTTCTATAGCCGATTGAACCTGTCGACGAAACACATTATATTCATTAGTAGTATAGGAATAAGAATCATGCCACTTACAACAAGAATGACAGTTCAATTCCTCCAAAGATGGTATGACATGGCCTTCGGGTAACCTAATTTGTTTTTATTGTAAAAGATAGTCAGAAATCTTATCACACTTGACCACGTGAAAGCTATGCTTAATCTCACTTTGTCGATCCTTGCGAGGAGTAGGCATCAAATTAGAACAAACAAAAGTTTTATTCTTATTAGTCCATGACCACTCAACAATATAAATATCATGATCACCATCATCATCATCATCATCATCATCATCATCATCATCATCATCATCATCATTCTCATCATGGAAATCAACAATACTAACATTAGGCTTCTTATCATTAGACCTAACAAACATCTTAGTTTCTTTAACTCGGCTTTCTTGAGCTAGAGCTTTTTGCATAAGTTGACTAACATTAAGAAATTATTGGCCATCTAATCTTTCTTTAGTAGGAAGCAGTAAACCATGTATGAAATAATCAAAAAAAATTTTGTTCTAATTGAGCCGAAGTATGAATAGAATTTGCCGGTAAAGAATTAAACCATGTAAAAGCAGTACCATACAAACATAAAGAAAGCAAGCATAATTTAGAAGCATCTGTCTTACTAGCTTCACCACATTGTGCTAAAAATTGGCCTATGTGGTCCCATGTGGCCTACTATCCTCACCATTGAACTTAGTAAATTCAGGAACTCTAAAACCACAAGGATATGGGATATTATCAAAATAATCAAGATACGACTCAATCCCGAAAGTTTCTCTAATAATATTCCTCACACACTCCTCCATATTTTCAGGCCTTGGTTGTGGATTTTATGGCCTAAAAGGAGGTGTCAGCGCAATATTGCTATATTGGCCATATCTAACATCTTGAGGGTATCCACCATTAGGATCATTGCAAACATTAGGCACATGTCGATGAATATATGGATTAGCAGGAGCTACTAGTGGATTAGGTACTGGATAATGGTGCAAAACAGAATTATCAGAGCATGATTGTGTCGGTCTGATCGGTCTAGGGCCCGGTCTGACCGGCAGTCAGAGGTGTGGTCGGACTGTAGGTCTACACGGTCAGAGCAGTCTAATGGCTGGTCAAACCGAAGGCAGGAGAGCAGGTCAGACCAGCCAAAGGAATGGCTGGACCGCCCGTGGTGCTAGGGTTAGCCTCGCTCCTAGTATATTGTGTAGCCGCTCCATCAGTTTTGCTATAGATGTGATGAATGGGGGTTGGGCTAGTACATCGAATATAATTTGATGGCAAATCGGCCAT